CCTAAAAACTACAGTGAGAGAGTGTAATCGAGCGCGAGTATTTGATATCATCTGCTTTAAGCAAGGGAGTATACGGCGCAGGGATTTCTAATGTGGCATGTGTAGCTATGTATACAAATTGCTACGCGAGCATCAGCTAGTGCGCGGTGTAATATTGAAAGGCTCTTTCTGTACGAGAGTATCTGACTTAACTTAACACTTTTTTCTCTGTAAGCAAGAATGGGCTCGACGGTCACGGTTTAAATACCGTATTAATAATTTTTTTTATATATTCGCATGTATATGAGTAATCTCCTGCCTATGCGTTTATATGTTCTTGAGTGCCTTAAAGAAACTCTTTTTTCGCGAAAGCAATTAATTCATCAAATTGTGTATTTAATCGAATTTTAAAATTATCGCATTTCCGCTGAACATTAATTTCTGAATTATAAAAATTATTTTTCTGAAACGTACTTACTACTTGTTTTTCGATTTTTTTTTTTTTTGATAAATTACTGTTTAATGTATCACAGTTATAGTAATTTTGTAACTGATTATTAATAAAATCTAATTTTTTTTCTAGAACGTTTTTCTCTCTTACAAGCTCCTGCATAAACAATTTTCTACCACTTCTCTTACCTTTTTTATTACTCGCAAAATTATTCGTTGGAGGTTTCATGAAATATTATTTTATAAACAATCGTGGGTATATAAGTGAAATCATTAATTATATTAAATCATTACTCCGTTTTTTTTTNGCAAATCCCTTGAAACGGAGTTTAGAGGTTTCGCGAAGAAAGCGCGCGCGCGTGTGTATATTATATATATATATATAATCATGAAAAACACATTTCCACAGCTTTTTTGTTTTATTTTTATTTTCCAATCGCAAGCACTGTCTATTTAAAACAAGAAACGGCATCATGTTAACTTGTCACCCGTTCACGAGAATCAATCAAACAAATTTATTCAATTTTATATATGTGTAGGTACACCGAAATTCAGTGCCAGCATCGTCGAATAACCCTTGTACCCACACATCCCGATAATACATAAATTTATCTTATCCGGCAGTAAAAGTGCCAATGTATGTAACATCGAGGCATCATTTCGTGTATACTCTCTTTATTTACTTTATTTATCTATTTTTTTTTTCAGTTGTAACAAAATACCGCATATACCATGCTGTCCGCAAAAGCACAGCATATACGCGTCCACGCACAGTGTACTATATGGGGTATTACGCGTCATTCATTAACATGCTTCATTAAATGGTGTTTGGTGCTTCTTAAGAGAAAGATAGTAATAAGAGAGTATATAATAAACGGACAAATAGCTAGAGACCATAAACCACGCTCTGCTACCAATTTTGTTGAATAACAATTAATGTCATTTAAGTTTGTTTTCAGCTTCAAACCAAAAACTAGAAACTGTGGACTACAGTCTCACGCTCCTTCACAGGCTGCGGGACAGCAGATAGTCCAACTATTTATTTGTTTAAGAAAAATTAAAAGGACGGAAGAAGTAGAGTGTTAAATATAATATCCAGATTAACTTACCTTTCTTTCCGCTAATTATTAATTGAGACGACCTGTACTTCCTCTTTCCGTCGATTTATAATTATTTATTTCAATATTTATTAATACATTATTTATTATTTTATAACAATTTGAATTCCTTTTCTAATTAGTTTTATGTCACTTTATTTAATGTTACTAGTATATATATAAAAGGAAACAGAAAAGAAAAAAAAAGACAGAAGTCAGAAGTCTGGTTAATCTTATAAAATTAGTTATTACGTCTGCACTTGATGAGCGGCAGCGGGCTACTCACTAAAACGCCGCGCAAAGAAATGCACCTTGCACGAAGTTTTGGTTTAAACTTCTTCGTCTTGCTTGCCATGGGGCCGGTACTTGCTGACTTCATGTGTTTAAGCTTCATGGCTCGCTTTGGTTGTCACTTGACACTTCTAAGAGCCACGAAGTACACAGTCAGCTTTGTTAGGCGACAACTCTCGTTGAGCAAGACTCTGTAAAGAGTCTAAAAATTTCATCATTGGGAATGAAATATAACAGAATAAAATAGAATAAAAATAAAAATTTTAATTTACGCAAGTCGTCACCTAACTGTTGTCTTGGGAGACGTTTTTTTGGTTCTAATGTCATCAAACAAATATTCAAACTGAAAATAATATACATATGTATAAATCTAATCCACTAAAAATTAAAAATTGTATTAACAGTAAATATGAAGTAAAAATATTTCTAGAATTGCTAATAGCTTATATCTGGTATATTATTCTGAAACCCAAATTTCAGACGACAAACTTATTAGGTTAACGTATAAGAAAAAGAAAAATACCTTATTTCATAAAATAATATATAAAACTTAATATAAATAGTCTAGTTTTATTGGACATATCAAAGTTCTTACTGTTATTTGCTGTTTTCATAAAAAAGTTTATAACTTTGTAACGATGTATCCAGCTTCTTAGTACACTCAACACAAGGGTACAAACAGCTGTGTAGTTTCAGCTTCTCTTAAACTACCACTAAGCCCTAGTGTCATAGCCTATAGTGCCCTGCACATCAGTTAATTTATTAATAACACTGGCTAAGCGTAAACGAGCAACTATACCATTTCCAAGGAGCCATAACCCCTGAATCCTGAAGGCACTATTTATTTTACTTGAGAAAGGTAAAGAGTGCGCTTTGAAATTTAAGTTTTTACTAGCCACGTGTCACGTTGACACTTTCACCCAAGTCAGAAAGCCCCTATCTCATGGTGAGGGGGACTAAAATATATCACCGTCACTGTCTTGCACACTTTGTGTATACTATAGTCATTGTATTATCAAATGATCCATACAGACTATTTTCTTGTAAGTTTTTCCGAGAACCTTGGTCTTCGTTTTCCGTTTTAGACTCGGTTTTCTCCTGTTTTACAAAGCTCCCCAATCAAACCCAGCCAGTCAAGACTTTGCAGCTTTATTTTCAATCAACAAGATCCTCAGAACAAAACCTATAAAAATCTCCAGCCACAAGAAAGCCAATACTTTCGACATTGCTCTGAACTTAATTATGGTTGTTACCACAAAAAATTTAGAGCCATGCAAAATAAAAAACTTAACTCTACAGGATAAGGCCAGCTACTTATTCTTGCTTGATACCTTACGATATTCCTTAATCGATCGTCTACTGTCGATCAACGATTGCTAATTGACTCATAGGTCTCTAGCACCTTTTATTTATTTATATAATTAGCTCTTGACCCTTATTGGCACAATTATCTAACTGATACATTGTACCGAAGCTTCAACTGGTCTGGTACCCACGTCTAAGTTCATTCTACTCTTCGAAGAGTAGAAGTGCTATCCACGGAGAGTAACCTATCTACCAATGATTAATAAGTTAGACCTCTGATGATACTCAGTCTCATCAGTGCTACCCATTAAGAGGTTCAATAACAAACCTCAGAGGCATTAGCTGAGCCCGCTGAGCATACGCATATGCATCAAAAGCCTAGTGATTTACCAGCAATAAATCTGTACTCGGCTTCTTTCATACAATGTGTTATTTTTGATAAATTAATTTTATACACATTTTGTTTCTTGTTTAATAATTTATGTACACATGTCCTACACTATATTACATTAAATTTGTTTTAATTTTTGATAATAAAGGCAGCCTTATGAGGTAAGCATTAGGACCAATAAAACATTATTCGAGAGAACATTTAATGTCTTAAAATTTTTATTCTTACTTTTTGACTTGCTCTCAACTGTTAAAATTCTTAAGCACTCACCTGCATAAGTCATTTTAAAAAAAATTTCACTGGAGTAAAAAAAAAAGAGTTAAGTAAGAACAATCCTTCTTTGGGTTATTGGTACGTGGCCCTTAGTTTTACTAAAATGAAGCACACATATGTAAATTTTGTGATAGATTTAGACAATTATGCCCCCAACACACTCACTGCTATCAGCCTAATTTCTCTTTGTTTCAGGTAAGACCACCCTCTGTTTTCTCTTACATACGCTCCATGCATTAGCGCCTCTATACAATTATACAATCACAATTACAGTATGGTTGTGTACAGTATTATACATTCAACAATGATTGCACTAACTTATAGGAATACTTCTAACGTGGCGATTACTAATATATCATTGCTTACATCATGAACGATAAACACATAAATGAAGTAACAATAGTAAAATCTATAAGAAGAAGTGCATGTGTATTAACTAACTTAATAAAGTTTTTTTTTTAATATTGTAAAATTAGTAAATCCTTTCATTCTTGATCTTATTAGAAAATGTGCTCACTTCTACAGTCAGTGATAGGAGGCCAGAGAAAAGGAAAACGTGTATATGTAGGAGAGATTATGATCATAAGATTTTAAGAAAAATTTGTATATCTAGACAAATTTCTTTTGCGGGTCTTCAAATGTCAAATGAGGGTGGACATAGTGAGGCTTTTTTTCTTTTAGAGTACATGTTCACACACGAATATCAAAACCAAAACTTCAAGAAAAGGATATATGCACACACAATAGATTCTTTTATTGTCTTGTATTATCTTTTTTTTTATGTCTGTCACTTAAGCACCTCCAACAATTAATTTACACAAACAAGCATACATACTTTATGCCAACAAATTCTGTATACGCTACGCACCTCTCCAATATACTTAGAGTCAGAATAATCTCAGAAGTTCTTGAGATTTCTACTTCTTTTTCTGCCTGTATTATTTAAACTACCCTTATTTTGCTTTGTATACATAGCAGCCCTATCAACTTACCTCTTTACTAAATCTTCCTTAATGTTCTTGTTATTAGACAAAACTGTCTTCTACAAGCTTTTTTAATATAAAATCTTGTCGTCTATAGAAAAACATACGTTGCATATAATATTTATAAGATAGCTCTTTTTTTTAACTTGATTATTAGGTGTTGTCAGTTTACAAATATTAAAAGTGACTTTCTGTTACTAAGTTGAAAATAATAAAGTTATTCTGTTACAGTTAGACGGGCTGAGTCCATTCAATCGAAGCGAAAGGTAAGTTCTTTGTCAGATCGAAGTGATATATCTGAACCAGGAATGTATGGTGAAATTAGTGGTGAGGAGTCACCTGGTATTCTAAGTGATGACCAACCTCCAGAAAGTCCCAGTGATAGTAATGATAACGATGAAATAAACAAAAGCTTTCCATGGATGAAGATTGTAGTGGCTACAGCTTGTAGTTTTAACTTTCTTTGTTGTCATCAAAGATACTGTCATCCAAATTGTCATAGACGTCAAATGAGAGCCAGCGAACGATTAATAAGGGCAGTAAGACACATTTATAATGAAGACTTTCATCAGACTTCAGATGAAGCTCTCCTTAATTTAAAAACTGAAAAAAAAAGTAATCGTAAGAAAGACAAACGTAATCAAAAAAATTCTCAACTTGTGAATGAACAGTTATCTTCTGCTGAAAAGAAAGATAGCAATGGACATAAATTTAGGTGAGACAATAAAGATTTATACGTTGTACTCATTTTAAGTAATTCATTACAAGAACATTCATTTGTTTTAACTAGGTTAAATGGAAGTATAAATAGATCTTACTCAAGGATCAAATATTCTACAGATCTATTAGATTTAGATCCTTATTGTCAAGAAAATTTAGCAGAGGCAATGCCAAGTTTAATAAATAAGTTTAATGAGATAGAAGTACTGCCTATTTTAAAGTATATACAAACCCAAGTCAAAAATTCATTTCACGCCCCCTTAGCTACTATCCTGAAAGCAGCAGCTGTTATATTAGAGGAACACTTTATTAACATTATTCCCATAGCTTGGGAACTTTTATTAGAACCTAATCAAGAAGTAGCTATTACAGCTGCATCTTTGTTTATTATCGCCACTATTCGTGCACCAACCGAATCAGTTACTCTTATTCATCGAGGGCTGCAGCATATTGATCCAATTATCCGTATTACTTCTATTCTTAGGTTTCAAAACTTATGGAAGTCCAGATATCAAGTTTGGCCAAGAATGGAAGAATCTGCTCATTCAACATTTAAGGTCCCACCACCTGGAATTGAATTTACTCTTCCATCTCCAAAAATTGGTATCGAATCACTGCCAGTAGTTGATCCACCATGGATGCCCCAGATTAAAACAAAAGTGGAAGAAGTCACTCTCAACAAAGAGCGACGAGTAAGTAAATAACATTTTAAAGTGCGATTTTTTTAAAAACAGCTGTCACAATAAAAATGATACAAATTTACCAATTAGCTGGCTTAAATTATTAGCTCAGCAAGTTTAGTCGTTGCAAACTTCTTAACAAATAATCATGATAAGAGTGTTTTTTTACTCGTAATTGCTACAAAATTTTATTTGGATTTCCAGAAATGTTGTACATTAGATAGTCGTAGATAAATTGACTAATAATCTATGATGAATATTTACTAATAATTAAATGACACAATGCTAAAAATGACATAATAGATTACCAACTATATGTGTTTTAATCTGTATGATGCCTAGTAAACGATCCCATGCTTCTCCAATACACAAAACTTCTCATGCCCCTGCATAAGTCTTTTTTTTTTAATCCACGACATCCTTTTTTCACAGCATGCCTTTAGAGCTTTACAAAATGAAGTAAAATGTATGAAATTTGTCTTTTGAGGTTAAGCCCCTCTCTGCTGCCACACACACCGTCTATAATGACTGTACAGCTCTTTTCCAAAAAAATTTAAATAAATTATTTGGAAATTCTTTTGCAACTTTTTCGAATCATTTCAAGTGCTTACTAAGTGGAAGAAAAAATATCTTAAGGTGGTTTTATATCTTCTTGCTATAGTCATTAAAAAATTTAATTTATTTTTGTTGCATTACATGATACGAGAGTAATAAAATTTTATTAATTGAAAAACTGTATTGTAATAAAAAATTCTGACAGGAAAAAAATTTAACATGCTCCTTTAAAACTTTCTTGGATCAACTACTCTTCAAATTTTATACTTATTCTTAAACGGCAAATTTTTATAAAATCATTAATTTTTACCTTTACATTTTTTACGTTTGAGCACATCCAAGTAAAACTAACCACTCGGTGAGCGTGGTGCATTGTTTCAGTCGAAAGTGTTCTATTTAACTTAATAACAAGTGACAGATAAAAGATAGAAAATGTATGAAGACATGGCTGCTGAGTAGTGCACATTTAAATACTCACTAGAACGCAAAATCAACAAGCTTGCAAGCTTGAAAGCTTTTTTTTACAACAAACCCTAGTACAAATAAAAAGTAAAATTTCAAAAGTTTGCTCTTAAGCTTTAAAATTTTTTTCGATATTATTTTATTTGCTGTGTCACAAGAAATCGAGATAGAGATACGTATGAAACTAGAAAGTGCAAGATCATGGTTGTGTAATACTAATAATTATTATTGTTATTGTTGTCCAGAGGCTCTTTTTTTAGTTCATTTCTATCTCATACTTTCATTTTTAATTAGTGTCTTATATTTTTGAAACTTGTTTGTATTACCTTGTGTTGTATTTTGTGCATTTTATGTGTAAAATATCATTTCACATTTAATAGCATATTGAGTAGTAAATATCTTCAATCAGTATCGCAGGTCTTCAAAAAGTATTGAAAAAAATAACGTTTGTGTTAAGTTATCAAATGCAAAGTCGTTATATAACGAGCGTTAGGATAATCAACGTAAAATATAATTATTGCTTGTGTTTGTTATTTTAGATGGATGTAACCGTGAGTTAAGAAGATTGTTTTGATCCGTATAAAGGTTAAATAAAGCATTTGCAAAATCTGAGGGCCGCACCTAAAACTGTGAGAAAGTTTTTTTCTACCCTACAGAAGAATGCGTACGTCAGTATTCCTTATAGAAAAATAAGTTCTAGATAATAAATGACTCATTTGTGACTAATTTTAAGTAATGGAAAAATCAAAACAAAAGATACAAGACGGAATTATTTTAATAAATAACAAGCTTTAACTCAGTAACTTATTGCTTTTATTCTGGACTAGTCGTTAAATTTTACATTCCTTGAATTTTTTGAGATGGCTGGAAGCTAAAGTAATTGTTTTGATGACACCCTTTCATCGTTAATAGTGAGTCTATTACACAACTTGTTAGCAGATAATGTACTTGAAAATGTAAAAGGGTTTTACAAAAATTGTAATTGTCGTAGGCTACTGCCTGGAATAAAAGACAATATATGTATGAAACAAGATAATGGCAGTGAGACATGAGTTCAAAGAATAATTATCCCGTATAACTTTAGACAATTGGGTCTGATACTTGAAAATTAGAATCTTTACATAAAAGTTTGATTTCGTAAGCAGGATGATTAATGGACAAAAAGTTCTGTACGTACTAGAGCTAACAGTACACATTCTATTCGCATGTGTCTCTTCCGTGAGTATTGTAAGCTTATGCTTACGAACTCTAATATTTTACGTTTAACTTAAAGTAAAATAAATAATTTACAACAAAGAATGTATTTCAAAAATTATTTATAACGAGCTGACAATAAAATGTTACGTAAACTTATGTCAATGTAGCTCTTTCATAAATGAGCTAAAGTTGTATTTGTTACGGTAGTTAAGTAGTGCATGTACTAACAAGATTTTGCATCAAACGTGGCAGACGATTTATGTATCCTAATTTTAAGCACGCTAAGATCTTTCCTTATTATTAAATAATGTTTTGTTAACATTTAATTGAGCCCTCGAGTAAATTAAAAACAATAACAGCTGCTTGAATATTGATGTAATCTTTTGTATGTACTTTTAAGCAGGAGCTTACAACGCTATACAATAGCTTATGTACTTAAATGTGCACTTTTAAACTTGCCAAGAACCTCTAAAAACTGATTACATCATGCAGCTACCAGAGGATACAGCAGTGATGGAGGAGGATGGAAAATATTACTAAATGTTAACAATTCTGTACCTTAGGGGTGCCCCAGATGCGTTGGCTGTTACAAGATCGAGTGATACATACACTACTTGTCCACTACTAGTACTGTTATATAGTACATCAATCGTGAATCTAACTATGCATACTCATTGAACAGGTGCATCTTTCCTGGAAACGCTATATACAGCAGGCTGCATTTTGGAGACATACATTATATTACTAACGAGACTCACGATGCTGCTCACACATTTTGGAAAAGCCTATGATACGTCAAACTACCATGTCAAAACTAATGTTATTGCGTTTTTTTTTCGTGATACCCTGTATCTCAGTGGACAACTAAGCTAATAGTGTATCACGGCAAACGGGTACCCTAGCATAAAGCCCTTAACATGTCAAACTGTCAGTAAAATAAAAACTGGGTTCTCAAAGTTATCATCTTCCACATACGATACCATTTTTTGCAAATCCATTAGTTGTCAGTGCAGTAAAGTTCACCATCACCTGATAGTCCGCTATCGTAAGCTTTAATACCGCAGAAATTAAAGAAAAGTAGTTCTGAAGGTGCAGGAAATCAGTACCAGGATTAAGTAATTAGAGCGAAAAGACGGATAGCCATCGCACAATCGTATAAGTAAGAACGGGTAAGAGCAAGACAGAATAAGAGAAAGATAGGTGTACATACGGAACAGATCAGGTTGCCCAAAAAAAAGAGTCTAAATTAGATAAGCGAGCTTTGTGGGTGGAATCATTGGAACTACAAGTAAACCAGTTCATCCAGGACTATCTAAAGCTATTGTACTGTTATACAAATATTGCTTGTCTCAATTTTGGCTATCAGCAACGAGCTATCTCTCTATTATAGTTAGATAAATTGTGTTTCGTCAGTAAGTCGTGTTGTCCAAGTCTCGGCAGTCAGTGAAGGGCTATACTTCCATTACAAAAAAACATAGTCATGTGTAGTTAGAATGTGGTAGGGGCAAGTCTAAGTAAATTTTCTGGTATGATTAATAATTTTCTGCAATAGGACGTTGCACGAATGAAAGAGTAAATGTGAAGTGAGTGTTCTCGTCTTTGAGTTGCGTATAGTAACTCGTGGTCAAAAGTGTTTTGTGGTAGCTAGGTGGTTTTGCAATCCAATCAAGTAAATGAAACTACAGAGTTGGCTGTTTTCTGGATCATACTATTAAATATTAAGATCTGTACAGGTACGGGCGTATTTACGTATAGGAAGACGTTGGGAGAATCGTCATCAGAATTAGTGAAGATACTTTAGCATAACTAAGTTTGGTAAATGAATACACTAGTAGTTAAGTAGTAAATTATGAATTGAACATATTTTGTTCTTATGAGTAAAGTGTGTTGTAACGGTGCCGCCGTTTAGGGTTCGCGGGAATTTTGATAGAAAGGAGAGGGGACGCGATGGAGCGGGAAGAGAGCGATGAGTTAGATAGACCAGCTGGAAATTTCGAGCGAGCCGGACGTGCAAAGAGAGATGGGAAGCGGTAAAAGGCGTGCAGAGGTTAGGGGCCTGGATGAACGTGTCATCAGGAGCCCGAACAGCGAGGAAAAGCGTTGCCAGTATTGGATTTTAAGTCACCCGGGTCAGCGCTACCAACCGAATCTGAAAGGATACTTGGCTGGTGGGGATGCCCACCAGCTCTCACATCTATAGGATGCGCATTTCAACCTTGACTTTACACTCTGTAGCCGTCGGGAAATAAATTAAGTCCGCTCCTCATGAATTGTGCAAGGTTTATGTATTATATCGTGAGGTCTGCCCACTGCATAGGACGTGGAAGTTTTACGCCGATTGTAGTTATAAATATATAGGGGACAGTGGTGTCTCCACCGAGATTTATTATAACGTACTCTATTGTTAATTACAGACACATACACACACATGACTGCTTGTTGTTTAATTAATACTTTAGATTCAATATAATATTCTTTTATTCATAATGTTGAGAATCTTCCTTTATCAATGCATGTATATCTATGTGTGTCGTCAACCTTAACAGTTTCGGTATTACAAGCAGTTGATTCCATGCTATCAAATGCTAATGTATAAGCAATCAAAATTCAAAGCACTTTAAGCGCTACCATATATGTACTTAATAGATGCATTTTTTCGTTCTTAATTTATACATTTACGTACTAATTAGGAGATAAAATAACTGACTTGTTATTTATTGCGTATTTGTCACACAGTTCTTTCTTAGCTGCTCATTCCATACATAATAACTAGTTGATTGCATGCCAATAAATATAAA